AAAAAAAAAAAAAAAGTCAAAAATAGTAACCAAATATACTTACTTAACAAGTGCCAATACAGTCTCTGATGATTCCGATGGTGATGGTGCCATAACCACAAGGGGCTCCCCCAACAGCACCAGCTCCCAGAGCATCTGACTATGAAGGAAAACTGGGCAGAAACACCTGAAAGGTGATGCACAGTAGAAATATTTTTTAATATAGCCAATCCTGTTTTTTTTTAATTGAACAAATGGCTCCAGATTTTTTTTTATTGAACAAATAGCCAATCCTGTTTTTAAAATTCCTACATAATATTTCTAAAAACTCCACACTGACATAAATTCTTCCTATTTGTATCTTGATCTGATACACAAATTCATTTAGAAGATGGTGATATATAGAGACATTAAGTCCCTTTTATTCACATAAAAATATCTATCAATGACTCATTCTAATTTTTACAAAATTAAATGTAATATACTGACACAAGAAATAACTGACAAACAATAAAAGCATATAATTCTTAAATTGTTGTACTAGGTTGGGCGCGGTGGCTCACGCCTATAATCCCAGCACTTTGGGAGGTCGAGGCGGATGGATCACGAGGCCAACAGATCGAGACCATCCTGGTCAACATGGTGAAACCCTGTCTCTACTAAAAATACAAAAATTAGCTGGGCATGGTGGCTTGTGCCTGTGGTCCCAGCTTCTCAGGAGGCTGAGGCAGGAGAATTGCTTGAACCCAGGAAGCAGAGGTTGTGGTGAGCCGAGATCGCGCCATTGCACTCCAGCCTGGGTAACAAGAGCGAAACTCAGTCTCAAAAAAAAAAAAAAAAAATTGTTGTACCATATGATAGATAGATGTATTTTATCAATATTGTTTTAATACATTTAAATTTCAATTCTAAATATTTTTAAGAAAACAAGAAAAATTAATTTTCTTTAAGAGGTACTTATTGGATATACTTAATTTAAAAGCCAATACTTTTGATATTAAAGAATGATGACAAATCACAAGGGGGAGTGCTAATGCTGAACAAGAGCAAACCTCCTGGGCAGATACTCCCTCTACAGAAATGCCACGTATTTTTTTTTTTTTTTTTTTTTTTTTTTTGAGACGGAGTTTCACTCATGTTACCCAGGCTGGAGTGCAATGGCGCCATCTCGGCTCACCGCAACCTCCGCCTCCTGGGTTCAGACAATTCTCCTGCCTCAGCCTCCTGAGTAGCTGGGATTATAGGCACGCACCACCATGCCCAGCTAATGTTTTGTATTTTTAGTAGAGACGGGGTTTCACCATTTTGACTAGGATGGTCTCGATCTCTTGACCTTGTGATCCACCTGCCTCGGCCTCCCAAAGTGCTGGGATTACAGGCTTGAGCCACCGCACCCGGCCTAATGCCACGTATTTTTACAGCAGCCCTGGAATTGCATGGAGGCCTGTTGGGACACAACTCTGCTAGTATGCTACTGAGCCTAAGACACTCGGTAACTTTCACTTATTTAGGAATTTCCTCCTGACTTGGTAAAAATTTTTTCTAGTAAATTAGGGGGAAAAATCTTATCTATTTATGAAAAACATAACCAATCCACTCAGTTGAAAAGACACACATGCAAAGAAAAAGAAAAGAAAAAACAAGTGCAAAATATGCAACAAATTATGAGATGGAAATTAGGGGAGTTAATTTTAACTATTCAAAAACAAGTGCCACAAAAGAAAAAAACAAAAACAAAAAAACAGCTCATGGGTAAGGCAAAGGAGTTCTTCCTCTTCCCTTCCTAAGCAACTCAGTCATAAAGCAGAACATGGTGGGTATCTCTGCCACAAGGGAAAGAGAGCCACACTGGCCAGCGAGGCATGTCAGAGCTTATGTAAGGTAAGGTGGGCATCTACAGCCAGGTGGTGGCCTGCTGTGGAGCTGCTGGAGCCCAAATGTAGTGAGGAAGGTATACATGTGTGGGGATTATTTGGTTTGCATTCATGAGCCCAGGAAGCAGAGAGGTAGCCCGATGTGTAGCATCAAAGACAGAATGAGTTGAATAGGCTGTCACAGTGTGGGACCACTTGGCAGAACGTGTCAGAGCAGAGGAATGAGGGTATCTTCATGGAGAAGTACCCCGGAATGGGGTGTGTAAGCACACAAGCAGGGTAAGGAGGGCACTCATGTGAGGCTTGACCTGGTGTCGAGTCAGAGCCCAAAAGAGGGGAGATGGCACCCACTTGTAGACATGGTCTTGTGGGATAAAGTTACCTGAATGAGACAGGAGGGTATCCATAGGGGAAGTCAATCCAACAAGGAGAATCAGAGAGTGAGCAGGGTAAGGAGGGTATCCATGCAGAAGGGAAGCCAGGTGTGGGATGTCAGGGCCCAGGAGGGATGAGAAAAGTATTAGCATGGAGGACAAAGTTGCAGCAGAGTCCTAGCCAGAGCAATCAGACAAGAGAAAGAAATAAAGAGCATGCAAATTGTTAACGAGGAAGTTAAAGTGTCACTGCTGATGACATGATCATATACCTAGAAAACCCTAAAAACTCATCCAAAAAGCTCCTAGAACTGGCAAATGAATTCAGCAAAATTTCAGTATACAAAATTAATGTACACAAATCAGTAGCTTTCCTATACACCAATAGCAACCCAGCTGAAAATCACATTAACCCCTTTTACAACAGCTGCAATAAATAAAATTAAATACTTAGGAATATACTTACCCAAGGAGGTCAAAAACCTCTACAAAGAAAATGACAAGACACTGCTGGAAAAAAATCATAGACGACACAAACAAATGGAAAAACACATCCTCCTACGCTCATGGATGGGTAGAGGCAATAATTGTGAAAATGACTATATTGCCAAAAGCAATCTACAAATTCAAAGCAATTCCCATGAAAATACCACCATCATTCTTCACAGAACTGAAAAAACAATCCTACAATTCATATGGAACCAAAAAAAGAACCTGCATAGCCGAAGTAAGACTTAGCAAAAAGAACAAATCTGGGAGACATTATGTTACCTGCCTTCAAACTATACTGTAAAGCCACAGTCACCAAAATGGCATAGTACTGGAATAAAAATAGGCATATAGACCAATGGAACAGAACAGAGAACCCAGATATAAAGCCAAATACTTACAGTCAACTGATCTTTGACAAAGCAAACAAAAACTTAAAGTGGGGAAAGGATACCCTATTTAACAAACAGTGCTGGGATAACTGGCAAGCCACATGTAGAAGAATGAAACTGGATCCTCACCTCTCATCCTACACAAAAATCAACTCAATATTGATCAAACACTTAAATCTAAGACCTGAAATCATAAAAATTCTACAAGATAACATTGGAAAAATCTGTCCAGGCATTAGCTTAGGCGAAGACTTCATGACCAAGAACCCAAAAGGAAATGCAACAAAAACAAAGATAAATAGATAAGAATTCTTTTGCTTCTGTACAGCAAAAGAAATAATCAGCAGAGTAAAAAGACAACTCATAGAGTGGGAGAAAATCTTCACAATCTGTACATCCAACAAAGGACTAATATCCAGAATCTATAAGGAAGTCAAATTAGCAAGAACAAAACAATCCCATCAAAAAGTGAGCCAAGGACATAAACAGACAATTCTCAAAAGAAGGTATACAAATTACCAACAAACATGAAAAAATTCTTAACATCACTAATTATCAGGGAAATGTAAATCAAACCCACAGTCTACTAGCACCTCACTCCTGCAAGAATGGCCATAATAAAAAAATCAAAAAATAATAAATGTTGGAGTGGATATGGTTAAAAGGGAATATTTTCACACTGTTGGTGGGAATGTAAACTAGTACAACCACTATGGAAAACAGTATGCAGACTCCTTAAGGAATTAAAAGTAGATCTACCACTTGATCCAGCAATCCCACTCCTGGGTATCAACCCAGAGGAAAAGGAGTCATTAAAAAAAAAAATACTTGTACATGCATGTTTACAGCAGCACAATTTACAATTGTAAAAATATGGAACCAGCCCAAATGCCCATCAATGAGTGGATGAAGAAAATGTTGTAAATACATATATAGTTGTGTATAGATATATACCATGAAATACTACTCAGCCATAAAAAGGAATGAAATAATGGCATTCACAGCAACCTGGATGGAATTGGAGACTATTATTCTAAGTGAAGTAACTTAGGAATGGAAAACCAAACATCATTATGTTCTCACTCATAAGTGGGAGCTAAACTATGAGAATGCAAAGGGAGGAGAATGATACACTGAACTTTGGGAACTTGGGGGGAAAGGGAGGGAGGGGGTGAGGGATAAAAAGACTACACATTGGGTACAGTATACATTCCTTATGTGATGGGTACGCCAAAATCTCAGAAATCATCACTAAAGAACTTACTCATGTAATCAAACACCATCTGTTTCCCAAAATCCTTTTGAAATAAACAAAAAACTTAAAAAAAAAAAAGTTGCAGCAGAGATGGAACATTGATTACTAACAGGGGTACTGACCCAATCAGCAAATAAAGAGTAATTTAACATATTATATATGAATGTGTATATATACATGCATTTATACACATATACACAGACACGCACAAACATACACACACATATCCTAGCTTTGTCCACTTGAGAGTGTCTAAAAGCAATGATATCCCAATATCAATAAGTACACCAGGTGCCCAGATGTTATCTGCAAAATCCTATTCTCTGCTAAAAAGAACCAAGGCCTTTTTTTTTTTTTTTTTTTTTTTTTAAAAAAATTTTTTTTTTTTTTTTTTTTTTTTTTTTTTTTTCCCCCAAGACTTGGACTGCCTGATAGATGTTATCTTACAGGCAAACGGAATGTACTAGATAA